TATTTTGTCAGGACGATTTTTGTGATATTTAGGATGATTTTCGTAATTTTTGGGTTTTTTTAGGACGTTTTTCGTTTCACCCACCCACCTCTCGTAGTTTCGAAACTAACGAAAAAAAAACACAATTGTCATTTTCATGTACAGTGTTGGTTCTGTTGTTTGCCGTATAGCCGGAGAGAGATGTCGAAAGCTTAATGGAATTGAATGACATTCAACAACCATGATGATGATAGATAAGCGGCCCACATTTGCAATCAATCAGTGCTTAAATACAAAGTTGAACTCTAGATATTGATTTTTTTCTTTTTTCACAATACACACACCAAATATATGTCATTGAATTCACAATTGGCCACTAATTTCAAACATGGCAATTTCAGTCGCTCATTTTATTTGAGATAATAATAAACTTTCGGCATTCAATAACCAGCCAAAATGTCCGAAAATGTTAGATTAGCTAATCAAATTTCAATGATAGTTATATTTACTACTCGTATTCGGCGTATATCAGAATGGTATCGGACTTTGGAATATTGTTCAAATATATTATTTTATGAAACGATTTTAAGCTATCCAAATGAATATATATCCCCAACATGTTATCAGAAAAGACGATAAGATGGAGTTTATAAGCTCAAATTAAAAGAAAATTGGAACTGAAAATAGGTGTTTTATTAGGTATAGTTTCTCACATATTATATTCAATTTATATTGTTCGTTGCATGAAGCACAGCCGCATGATATCGATTCGGCTTTTTTGCTGCCAGAAACTATGAAAATAATTCATTCTTTCAATGCGATTATGTTCGTCTTGATCAAGAGACGCTTCGACATACATTTTATTTCATTGGTCGCGCAAAAAAACAGGAACCCATGTCTTCACACATTTTTTCTGCGTCTTGGCATGAAATGCCGACTTCAATGAAAGCAGTAAATGGCAGCAAATGATAACATATTCAATTCTTTTATTTGGCCAACAGTGTAATGCTTCGTATACTGATTCATGTATTCGGTTGGAACTCGGTTGACCCAAGCGCCATCTAAAGAATCGATGGCGAATTCTTCATGTCTGTATGTTATACTTCAGTATGACGTTTGACAGAACGGAGAGTTTACTTGATTGTATTGTCATTAGCCTTAGATTATCTAGATGGTGTTTGCGCTCAATATCAGTTGTCAAATTCAAAGTGAATAGGAGAGTTGTATTTGGCACGGAAGTTAGTTCCAATCAATTGTTCAGCAAGATATGCATAAAATGAAGGAAAAAACTCTTTTTTGTTCCAAAGAGAGTTGATAATTTCCGATTTAATCATCGTTTCGTTGAAATAAAATCTCTGCGTTTTCACAATATTTGAATTCAAAAATTGTTGTAACTTATATTAGAATAGAAGACGAACCCGGATTTCGATGATGATCATGAAACTTGATAAAAATAAAACTCTTAAAATACTACGAAATTCCTCAAATTTCGTTCCGAATTTTTTTGAATGATCAAGTGCGGCTGTTGACACTATATTTTCCTATATTTTGAATTGGCGCGCTGTGTAGTTCCGATTTGAAATGTTAAATTACATTGATGTGCCCTTTGAAATTGGGGGCGCTCGCGTCGCCTCAAATGACTTTGACGTTCAACAGCCGCCACACGATCAAGTGGGTCTTAGTCATGGGGTGGAAGCATTAACAAAATTCAAATTGGCGCGCTGTTTAGTTCAGAAAAAAATTACGAAATTACATTGTTTTTCCTATTGAAATTGGGGGCACTCGCGTCGCCACAATTGTCATTCAAATTGTTTTCGGTCTTAGCTTCCACCCGATGGTCTTAGATTTGAGTTAACGAGCATGCAATGAGTCTTTAACCATTTTTCATTCGATTTACAGTGGTTTATGAGAAAATCATTGGACCAAAAACCAAGATACATTTGATAGTTTGAAATTATTTTGAAAAAAACTGACATTGTAATAATAATATTAACATATATATATATTACATTTAACAGCATTAATAATTAAAAAATTTATTTGACGTATGTTTTCAACATTGTTTGGAATTGATTCAAATTTTCTTGGTTTTTTAATTCTATCGGCAGTGTGTTGAATAATTTAATTCCCTGATAAAATATTGAGTTTTGGCTACAAGCCTTAATTGCATCTGTTAGACAAATTTCATTTGTGTTTCTTAGTGTTCTGTTTGTAGTTTCATGCTTAAAAGTTATTTTTTCAGTTAGGTAATTTGGTGCCAGCCCATTGATTATCTTGAATTTAAATATTAACGTTCTGAATAAAATTGTCTGGTTCACATTTAATAAATTTAAAGTGTTTAGCATTGCTTCACTGTTTGAAAAACTGTTCAGTCTTAATATTTGTCTCATACATTTGTTTTGTAGTTCTTGCAAACGATTTAATTTCTGTGTTGTTGGATAAATACAATACGGAAGCACAATAAGTAAAATGTGGTTCCATAATTTGTGTCGTCGAATGCCACCATACTTCTAATTTTTTCAATTTTATAATGTATATGAATGCTTGTAAAACCGGCGATAAATTGATTTACGTTCATCGACTAAATTTTTTTTTTTTTCAGAGTAATGATATGAACTTCAAATTTAAAGTAAATCACTTTCGTAAACAAATGCTAATTTATATATCGAAACTAGTGCCACATCGACGAATAGTGATTTTCGGACGGTTCACTTTTTTTTATATAGAACCCACAACTGATTTGTAGAACATTCAAATGATATATTAATGAGCATGATCATTGTATGTTGAACACGTTAGACATGTGATAATTCAATTTTCATTCATTATATACAATGTGGTGATTTTAGTTAAATCGAAAAGTACACATCATTTGTCTGACCACTGTCAACTCGTCGCTATAAACAATAAATGCAATGGTATGGTGAAACCATTCAATGTCACTTTGATTTATTCATTAGTTTCACTCTCTCAAATTTTAATAAGCACCAGTTAGCACACACCGCATAACGATTCACAAATCTACCGCGAATTTTCACGCATTTGTTTTTGTCGGTTGCTCGCAAAGCCATTGTCAATAAGTTGTTATCTGCTTGGAATTCATTTCTAATTTTCAATATAAACACAGCACTCCGATTGCAAACCATTGTAAAAAATATCCAATCATCGGTAATTTTTTTTTCGAAAATAATTTGCAATCAATCTGTCAATAGCTGCAGCCGAGGATAAAGCATTGAATGTTATTGAGTGGGGGTTCGAAAGTCAAATCACAAACCACATAATTGTGTGGAAACTTGAGACAACACATTCGATATCATATTTTCGCATCACTCACACTGGATTATCTTTTCCACCGCACTTATGTTTTCCACTCATATCCTTTCGGCTATCCCATCTCACTCTCTCTCTCTCACTTATTCAACGGAATATAGTTCTTGCTTACATTTGTTATTTCCGGTTTATCTTGTCTGATTAAGAATTAATGGTTTGCTCTACGATTTGATCCGAAACACTCTTGCATGGTGAGTGTGTGTAATATGTGTGTGTTTGTATGGGCGCGTTTCTGCGTTTGCTTTCCCAACACAATTCAAAAAGTCAACAAAACAACAAACATTCCTCCGGAATCAACCAACCACCACACAATACAAAATGGAATGAATTCTTATTCAAGAGGAGAGAGGAAATTCAGTTTCAAAACGCTTGAAAATCGATAAATGGCGTCAGTTTGCCTCGTGCGAATTATTCTAGTGCCTGAAGGGAAAAAAATACAACAATACCACTTCACACATTGTGGCTTTTATTGGCGCACATACAGAACTCTACGTATTTAAAAAAAAAATGTTGATGACTGCGAATCAAATCACAATGCCAAGGACTTTTTGCACTGAAAAAAAAATAAACCGAATACCAAAGTCTTGCACGAAATGTTTCCGATTTTTTTTTGTTTTGTATTCAATGTAAGATTATTCATCCTAGTTTTGCATATAAATTAAGTTATTATTACCATTTTTTAATTGAAGTTTATCTACAAAATTATTTGTAAAGTAGTTCACCGACTTGGACTTACGTACCATCAATCATTCGAAAAGGGACACTAAGCTCTTCTCTAATGCGCCTCACAAAACTCGGCTAATCACCCTGTATTCTTTCAATTACGTTTAGTCGATTTGTATCCACCTAATATGAATGCTGTTTCTGAAATGGGAAAAGAAAACATAAAATCAGTCCAATTTTCTATGCACACAGAAAAAAATATTCATTTTTTGATAAATCTGAATTGATAAATTCTAAATCGAATTTCGTGTCATCTATAATAATGACAAACCATGTACGACGGGCACAATATAGGTTGTCATCAAAAAACTAAAATCCATCAGATTGAAGCATCAATTAGGTTTTATTGATTGACACTATTTTTGAATGAATTTTTATTGACGTTTGCTTCATTATTATTATTATCATTTGTATTTGATACGTATTATTGGTGGTGACAGAAAATTGAACCAAAACCACTGAATGAATATAAGCCATATAAATGGCTATATTTGCAATGATGTCAACGATTCTGATTACACGTATAAAATAATATGAACTGCTGAGAATATTCGTTGGACATGAAAATAATTTTTTTCAAATACCACATTTATGGTACCACACAAACAATGTCCAACGAATATACTCAGCAGTTCATATGTTCTGAACGGTACATTAGTTGCATCAAGTCCAATTACTATTAGTTCATGATGAAGCCCGATGACATAATTATTTACGAAGGAATTAAACTAAACCGTAACACATAAGCATTTTTTTTCACATATTTTAATAAGAAAAGAAAACAATCTAGAATCGACTGCAATATATTTAATTATTTAATGAATCTACTCAGATTTCTCAGCCATGTATATTTTCCGGTAGAAAGAAAAAGCCAGAGACCGCTATTGAAAACGTACTTTCCCCACATTTCATGAGCATTGAAAAGTGTAGCGCTTTTTATGTACGGTTGAATCAACATCAAAGCAGAAAGAATAAAATAAAACACAGAGACGAATTAATGTTAGTGCCAGTGTAAAATATGTTGTTGGTTGGCTTTCTCATGGAATTCGAAATTGTGGCTTCGCTTCGTTGCATTCACGTGCAAAAGGCCGCGATTTGAGCGATTTGTGGTCAGTGGCACACGCAAATTCAACGTACAAAAATCACCACACGTCTCCGTATTCATCACAAACACACACATGTACACAATTTTTCCGCCTGATGTACTGAAGCATTGCACTTTGAAAACATGACCGCTACACTTATCGCTTCGATGACGGCTTATGAAAAAGAGAATACAGAATTTGTCATCGACGATGCATGAACATGTGAAATACATAACAAATCACACAATGATATGTTAATTTCACCGAAAATATACACATTATGTGTTTTTGTTTTTGTTTTTGTGTATGCGTTGTGGCGGATGGACGATGCATAGGAAATGCTGAAACATTTGTGCAGAATAAAACAATATAGATCAAAATTTAGTGGCTTTTAGAGAAAGATTGATCACGCACTGATTCCAAACCAAAATGATAAATTTCGATTGTTTCCCATCTAAATGGGAGTGAAGGGAGAATGAATAGCATTTTGTTTGCAAATTATTTGCATAAGAATCGTTATGAACATTTTCACTTGGGTCATCGCATAAATTCAACAAACACGCAATGGCAAAGCGATTAAATTTAATCATTCGCCTAGTAAATTTAAAAACAAATTTTACCCTTCATTCTACACAAGAACCAAAAAAAAAAAATAACTTATTAAAATTCCAAAGGCGCCTGGTTGAAAGACGGCACCTATATATATATTATACAAACTTTAGAAATATCTGAGCTAAAAGTTTTAGATGGCATTTCAATGCCATTGAATCAATTTAACCATGGAAAAAATAAAGCAAAGAATCTCGAAGCTTTTGGTGTGTATGACTTGGTGAAAAAATCATGAATATTTTGGCATATTTCGTTTATTTACCAATTGAAATTATCATTGACAATAGCGACAAATGTTTGTCTTTTTATTTTAATATGTGTGTTGGATTGTTAAGAAAGATTTTCAAGAAATAATAGGATCAACCTAATGAAGTGTTTCGTCAGAACGTAGAAAATACCGAAGAAAAATATTTTTGCAGGATTTGTCTTTTTCTTCTCTTGGCACTACTTCAGTTTTGTCGTCTCTATTGTGCGTATAAAATATATGTTATTGTTGATTATTTTATTTTCTATACAGAAAGAACTCTGCGTTTTTTTTTCATTTTCGTTCTCTGTTAAGCGCACATTTACACGTTCTTTTCTTCCAATCTTATTACTTGGGAATGAATTATTAAGTGAAGTTCATCGGTAAATGGTGCTATTAAGTCTAGGGAGAGAAATACGCATAGACACGCACATACATTCTACGCTCGTTTTAAATTACATCCTATACTTTGGCGAATATTTATTCAATTTATTCGCTTCGTAGTGATCGGAAGAGTCGTTAATTATTTTGAGTGAATTCTTCCTTCAGAAGATCATAGAATCAATTTCCACAATATCAATATTCAATTCCCAATCTGTTTGGTTTCAGAATTAAAATTCCATTTATAAACGAAGAAGTTGGCAAGGCACAAAAATACCTGCCATTATAACACCGCCCATATTATTTGAGGTGAAGCGAGATCTTAAGGAACTTAACTTAATTCAACTGCAAATGCCAATATAAATTGGCTACTTATGAGTTGAAAGCGATTTGTCTTGAATTTACCGTTATCAAATTGTCGTTCTCAGCTGTCAATGTTGTGCTTTGTATTACTTTAAAGTGTATTGTTTATTTTTTTTTGCCAAATCATGATTTCAGACACAGAGAAATAAAAAACAACTCATCAGTTGAATACAAATGGAGAAACGTTAATGTAGTCCCATCATGTGCATTGTGCAAAGATTCAATAGCAAAAAAATGACTATGGGCGAAATCTTCGGAGAAGAGTAACAATTAAATGAGCGCAATTAATGGATTGTTTTTCTTCTGCCAATTGAAATGCTTTTCAATGAAACAAAGAATAAAGACATTGAGACAATGATCATAACTGGCTATCAGAAGCACAGAGAGAAAAAAAGTACTCAGAATAAATTATGCTTCTAAATAAATTATCAATTCTAATTAGCATTTGTTTCATAATCTTGTTGCGTGCACACTTTTTCTTCTTTTCTCAATTCCCCTCTGACAATGGCAGCACAGTTCATGTGTTAACATCATCCCAGTGATATTTCCATGGGGAAAACAATGTTCGAGCATTTCGATGTAACTCATTGGGAATTCAATTAATGAGCTACCTGTGTCGCTGCCGTTCTCTGTGAATGTGTATGTTTCATTCGCATTAGCCATGTAATGTCTCTCCAAATCATTCTTGACTCTTTTTTCGAGCATAACAAAAATCAACTGATTCCAATTGTTGTCATAACTGTATGCGATAATATTGTCATTTCTGCTATTTAGTCTAAGTGCATCCGAATCTTCAATCCTTTTATCTCAACTTCAATTTGGAAAAAAGAACTGGAATTCAGCGGAAAAATACAATAACTCTAATTTAGAGATGGTGAGAGAGAGAGAAAGAGTAGAAGAAAGATTTCCAACATAACTTTAACGTATATAAACTTAAGTTATCATGTGTGAGTACATTCGAGTATTACATTCTTGTAACATTGTGTGAAACATTTTGTTTTCAGTTGGAAACACTTGGATCGTACAATGCTTCGCTACACCGCTACACGTATGTCACTGTTGACGACAGACGAATGGACTGAAATAGAACGGCGATAACATTGGTACCAACTGTGCACACATTTTCTATGATTGAAATTTGCAATGAACTGCATACATACATCCATATTATACATAGAATGGATTCAAGATAAATTCTCTCGTTGAACAAATAACCAACCAAACAACCAATGCAAATACTACTCATACAATGAGAAATTTAATAAGATACAAAGTGAAAAGAAAAAAAAAGAACATGAAATAAAAACCCAGCCGGCTATCCAGCCAACAAACTATGTGAAATAAGTAAATCTGTTTTGTATTGTTTTAATTGAATATTCGATGCTCCAATCGCTCACTCAAATTGCTTGAAACAATGGATTGACTGGCAAAATAGATTGAAAGCAGATCAATGAATGAATGGAAAATAGCCGTGTATTCAATGGATGAGGGACGTTTTCTTTCATGAGGCCGAACGAATGGGAAGAACCTCATCAATCTAAAATAGATCAAACGCACGAGCAACGTCTTTCGTTAGAAAATATTCGTTACGTTTTAAAAACTCTTAGGCAATTTTCCTTCGCCTTTTTCTCATTTGTGAGCTCTCTCTCAATCTCTCTTCGCTTCGAACGAACTTTCAAGTCGCAAACTAAAGAATAAAGTACCCACTTTTATCGGTACTTGTCTATCATGGTTTGTTTCTTTTTTGATACATTTTCCAACAAGTTGTATGAATCATCGAAAAAGAGTTCTTCGATGATTCAAGATACTCCAGTTCTTGCGAACAGAACACCGAATTGTGTGCGTCCTATGCTGTAAGAATAGCCTATTACGACTTTCCAACAGGCACTGTCACGACGTAGAACTAAGTTCTATAATAGTATTATTATTATTACTGAGCAACTTACTCCCCGAATATATATGAAAGCCGCAATGCTAATATACTTTTCGTTGTGAATTCGTGGTTTAGCGAATTATAAGAATCAGCCGAAATGAAAAATCTAGAATGCCAGCTAGTGTGTGTGTGTGTGTTTGAGCGCGGCAGCTAACTGTTACGTTCATATATACATATCTCATTCTAACAAGAAAAACGAACGAAGCGACAGCAACACCAATACACAAGTGATCGTGTACGATGTGTGACTGTAGTGATTTTGCATGAATCATGTCTGTTGTGCTAAACAACAGAAGCACATTTTATCTTACTCCCTCTCTCTATCGCGTAGAGACGAATCATGCGGAATGCTAAGGTTATACAAGAGCATCTTTTGGAATTGTTATTTTGTTATGAAATTAAATTGGATTTCAAAAATATAAGATAAAAAAACCTAAGTGAAAAGATACCATGAAAATCTGTTCACCGAATTCGAATCGAAAAATGGCTAGCGAGAAACCAAATTAACATTATGTCGACGATAATA